TTTTAATCTCTAATGGTAATGCATGGAATTTACGGAAAACTCCACTAAATAATAGCGCTAAAAAGTGAGGGGCGTGGTGGGTTTTGTGCGATAGGCGCTACCGATGTCCGTCAATCTACTCCACAGCCAATCACGGGCCCCCTCCTAGCTCGGGCCCCGGGGCTTCAGCCCCGCCTAGCCCAATGGTTAATGCGGCCCTGCTTATGACTATAATTCTTTATTAATAGAATTGTATTTATTTATTTATTTATCCATTCATTTATTAAAAATTGAAATAATGCTGAAACAAGAATCACCTGTGAGAATAATGATAATTACAAAAAAAAAACAAAATCAAAACTTCCAGATTCATTACACAGTATTGAAAATTTGGGGTAAATGTGCTCAATTGGCATGAAAATAATCTCATGATACAAATCGCTTGATATCCTAAAAATAGGCTTCGTTTTCTTTATGCAAAATATCATTTCCGATTTCTTTCTTTTGATGTTTGGATGAAATTTGACTTTCACCCAAAGGTTTAGCTGTTTAAGGGTGAGTTTGAATTAGATGCTCTTATTGTCCACAGCAAGAAGTTTTGTAATATGTGGAGCTGTGCATGTTCCTGGATTTATTGTGAGCAGTTCATCTGTGATCATGTCCTTCTGGGTCTGAATGCTCCAGCCAAGCAGCTGCTATTGAGATGAATGTGAACAGAGAGTCCTGGTATGCTTGGGTTTTATGATTGTTCATCACTGACTGTGTGCTTGTTCAGCTGCATACATCATGAAGCTGATGGGAATCCCTCTGCGTCTCGTGGCCATGGTCAACTCCAACGACATCGTCCACCGCGCACTCCAGAGCGGAGATTTCTCTATGTCCGACTCCGTCAAGCAAACTCTTGCTCCTGCCATCGACATCCAGGTGCCGCTGCTCTCAGTGGTTTATTTGTGTTCATGCACAAACTTACTGAAGACAAGTAAACAGTCATGAATTACAATAGAACAAAGAAATTGACCTACAAACACTTAGAAAGCACTGAATAAGAAATATATTGTATAAAATAAATAGACTGAATAGTCTTCACTGT